CTGCTTAACCAAGAAAAATAGGAAGAATATTGGATTTTTTTAGTCTGAAGTCTTTCTTTGGCCCCTCAACAACATATGAAGAAAAAAAAACAGAAATTATTTTGATCAAATTAGCATGCACTAAGTCAGAAATCTATGTTGGTGTAGTGTTCTACTGGCTGTTATCAGGTATATCTGAATGTGTTCAACAGGGGTTTGAGCAAAGCTTTTACCACTGAATGATGCAGAAAGTCTCACATCCAAAAGAAACCGGATCAGATATGACACATTTGGCTTTATAGGGTTAAGACCCCCAAAACAGCTTCAAAACACCCCCAGAAAACCGTTTTAAAATCACAAAAACAGCTTTAAAACCCCCAAAAAACTGCTTTAAAAGCCGAAAAATAGCTTTAAAAGCCCCCCAAAAACTGCTTGTACCCTTTAAAGCCTGATCCAAGAAAAATGGGAAGAATATTAGATCTTCTACTGGCTGTTATCAGGTATATCTGAATGTGTACAACAGGGGTTTGAGCAAAGCTTTTACCACTGAATGATGCAGAAAGTCTCACATCCAAAAGACTTCAGAAACCGTACGAATCAAACATGATATATATGGCATTATAGGGTTAAAGGAGTGGAGAATAATGAATATAAAGGGGCACATGGGCAAAAAATGTCCTTCTACACAATGAAAATCAGTATAACGATTTTACTGCTTTAACTCAATTAACTCATTGGCTGCCAAAGACGTCTATAGACGTCTTTTATGTTTTTCAACAAGAGTGTCTGGGGGACGATCTGCTAAAGCTTGTCCGTAAATATGGGCTTCTAGACAGAGTATGTAGTAACAAATTGACCCTCTAGGGGGCAGTGCCACTTTTGATGGGAGATGAGCATAGACTGTAGGCAAATAAAAAGAGACGCACGTCCAGGAAGAACGGAATAAGGTAGAAACACATTTTTTTTCCTGATGAAAGAAAAGAGTCTACTCTTTCTTTTGGTGTGTTCGGTGTTTACATAGTCATAGCACAAACTATTCTGTGGCTCTTGGAAAATCAGTCAAAACGCTAAAAAAACTCTGGCAGTATGGGACTCTGTTCTGAAAATGGCTGCCAGTCAATGAGTTAATGATATAGTCGGATAAAATAAAAAAAATAATGAAAAAAATAAATAAAAAAGAAGGTATAGGAAAAAAAACAAAGCGGTGGATGTTATAAAAGTGGATCTAACATTGAGGTTGGGGCCTAAACAGGACAGCAGGGGCAGTGTGAACACAGACACTTTTTTTCCAGGAGCTATTTTTCCCCAACACTACTGGTCAGGCCATTTATTCAGCAGAACCATTAGCATACAGGAGAGGGAATTCACACTCCAGCTGGAGTGGGCAGTGCTATCAATTAACAAGCACACTTAGTATGTGTCTGAGTCACCATCAACACGGGAACCAGAAAATGCTTCATGTTTGCTCAAAATAAAATGTCACAATAGCCAACCTTTTAGTTTTTTTTTGTCCGAATGTCTGGAAAAAACAGAAAACCAACCAATGAGCAGTGTTGGGTAAGTTACTTTAAAAATGTAATCCGTTACAGTTACAAGTTACCTTGTTTAAAATGTAATTGTAGTGTAACTTTTTCGATTACTTTTAAAAAGTAATGTAACTAATTACTTTTGATGACTTTTTGATTACTTTAAGGTTTTAATGAGTATTAACCCATGATTCATTTTAGCATGTTATTATTAGCTATTGGCCGCAGCTAGCAGTTCAAGGCTAACGTCTTGTTAATGATCATAAACAACGTAAATAAATA